AGGTCTTATAGTCTTCAAGCAACCTAAAGAAGGATTTTAAATTTGATTCTGGATTTAACAGGGAGCCATTGAGGAGAAGCCAATAATGGAGAAAAAACAATTAGATGTGGGTTTACTGTATGCTGGAGGCTTATGTTTAGAACCACTGTCTATGCTAACTTCACCCATACTGTCTGCAGAGGCCGATTTAGTAAGCTACATGATTTTGTAAGTTTATTCATCCATCAATCCGTTTTCTCTCACTTATCCAGGCCTCATCTCCAGTCTTATTCTTTATGCTGGCATTGTGTTTCTTAATAGTAAACCTAGCAAACCATTTATGCAGATCCACCTGTCAGCTTGTGTTTTTCATGTATTTTATATGAAACACTTCTGCTTTATAAATAAACTAACAGAAAGATGACAAAAGGCTGTAAACTGGTAAAATTGCGAACATTTGCGTAATATATAATTAATAATTAAAATGGTTTTCTTACCTGTTCAATCAGATAGATGTTATTTATTGTCAGCGTAACTGTTGTAGTACGAGGAGATATGACGTTTTACTTTCTGACAAAAGTTCAGAAATGCTTCTGCTTTTTAAACCTGCTCTCGTCTTATCTATGCTAGCACACAACCAGTCATCACAAGAGCAAGCAGCCACTCACAGTTCTGCAATCTTACCACTCAGTATATAGCATGTGGTGATGATCATTATCAGTAAATTAGTGTGAAGTAGGCCAACACGTGACTACGTCTTGACCAAAATTGACAGCACCCAATAGCGGGAATGCTATTTGTGTAAAAAAAAGAGTTCAGTCTAGTGAGAACACATTGTAAGTGTGAAATTAGTTGTTATCATGCATGCATGTTATCCACATATAGAGTTATTATAGCTTTATTTTATACAAATGACTAAAAAGCCATAATGCCAATACAGTTTTCTTGTAATATGTTGTTTCCGGACAAACAACATACTACAACTCGATGTAAACTGTAATATCACTGGCTTGGAAAAGCAAACAGACACAACAGCCCCGATAAGGTGACAAGAAAACCAAAAAAAAAACCAAAAGAAAAAAAAACCCAGATGAATTATTTCAGATCTTTCTTATTTTTCATTACCAGTAAATTAGTGTGCAGGGAAACCTGGGGCCATTTCCTGATACAAATTGGGTGTCGGAAAATGATCAGTGCTATTTGTGTATATGAAGAAGTGCAATCTTGTAGTGTACGTGTGAAATTTGCTATCTGGGTCACTGTGGGTGAAGCATAACACAGAAAAATAGGAAGCACACAGAGCACTAGCTAGCCTTTGCTTATCATGAGGTAGTTGCTTGTGCGCATGTGTCAACAAGCAGGCAGCCTGCTTCAGTTACTCCTGCTGTCAAAACTCCTCTGTTTTGCTCTTTCTTGGGTGGTGCATGAGTGAGGGCCATTTTCTTGTTTCGTTCAATCCTTGCCTAGACTTAGAACGTAACAGTACTTAAGAGTGTAGTCTGCAATTTTGCACATTTAATCATCACTTGTTTTTGCTGTGTTTGGTGGTTGTAGATATGGTTTATCTACAATCACCAAATTTATACCGAATTTCCCAGAGGAACCCACCCGAGGGATTGATAAAGTTTTATCTTATCTTATCTTATCTTATCTCTTAGTATTTAGCTGAGATTTCTGTGGATACTACACGTGTTGATATTTGTCATGATGATAATTGTTCATAAAAGGCATGGAGGGTTACAAGCTTAACAAGCTAAGAGACATAACACTTCCTCACATCCTCCTCACAGGAACGTGGCCTTGATCATAAATCTGCTGTCATGGTATGCCCCTTCTTTAACTCTACAGCTCTGACCATAGGACAAGATATGGTTGCTGTGGTAACGGGAGCACTAGAGCATTAGAAGGGTCACTGTTGGGTCTAAACATGCGACCCTGCTGGAATCAGACAACCAGAGACTGCAAACAGAACACAAGAGCCACTCGTACCTTTTACTTGCAAGGGGAGATTGCACTCAGAACTGACAAAAACACACCTGTAGCCAACTCCAAAAAAAACCCCTCACAGCTTTTATTCCATGAACCTATTACACAACCCCCAACTGTAAAACCCCAGTGGCATGTCATAAAAACTAAGGTGTGTGCATGCACGTGCAAGCATGCGAGTGAATGTATATGTGTCTATGTGTGTATGCATGTGTGCATGTGTGTATGTTTCTCTGTATACGTGACTTCCTGCCACACAATATATGCTTACAACTGTTTAACGACATTTCCTAGTTATCCAAAGGTCATCTCCCCTCACCCGTATATGGCTTCACTTTAATGGTACACCATATAAAAGCATAGGCATGCCCCTAAATGGCTGGAAGTAAACATTCCTTATCAAATAAAGAAACCAGAGTCTTCACATGGAATGTGCCTGCAGTAAACACTATAGCTATAACCTCCCCCACCATCTGATATGTAGGGGAGGAGTATAGAAACAGAAGAATATCTTTAATCATGCACTTTAAAACAAGTTTACAATCTTAAGCACAACGATGACAACATTTAACAAAATCACAAAATCAACAGTCATCATTAGAGTTA